TTTCGTTCTTTTCGTTCTTTTCGTTCTTTTCGTTCTTTTCGTTCTTTATTAAGATCATGACCTAGAAGCCTAACATTGATCCCTGGGGTACCTCACACTGTTTTCCTGGCCAGATCGTCACGTACTGCCTGTCCTAATTCTCCCGGTGGAGATGGCGCTGTATTTCTTTCTTAACCTGCAGTTGTCCCTGCAGTGTAGAAATGCCAACCGTGCAATTACAAAGGGAGTTCCAAGGTTGTGATCTACCCCCAGTGAAGGAGCAGTGATATATTTCCAAGTCAGGATGGTGAATGTGTCTTGAAGAGGAGCTTGTAGCTAGTGGTGTTCCATGTATCTACCACCCTTGTCCTTCGAGATGGAAGTGGTTTGGAAGGTACTGTCTAAGGAGCCTTGGTGAATTTTGGCAGTGCATCTTCAGATGGCGCATACTGCTGCACTGTGTGCAGTGTGAAGGGAATGAATGTTCAAGGTGGTGGATATGGGCCAGGCAAGTGTCCTATCAAGCTTGTGCCTTGTAGATGATGGACAGGCTTTCGGGAGTCAGGAGGTGAGTTACGTAGTCCAGAATTTCTTGCCTCTGACCTGCTCTCAAAGGCACAGTGTTCCTATGGCTGGTCCAGTTCAATATCTGATCAATGGTAACCTCCAGGATGATGCTGGTGAGGGATTCGGTGATGACAATGCATTGAATGTCAGGGAGAAATGGCTAGATTTTCTCATTTTGGAGAACTGACTGCCAGATGTAGTACCAAGGTGATACTGTAATAGTGTGCTGATGAGAGTTAAACTGAGACTCCCCAAAAAAAAAAAACCAGTGACATTAATCAAGGAGAACAGCATTTTACCAGAGACTGCTGGCATTCCTCACCCAGCATTGACTGGAACTAAACTGTACCCTCATTACTACGTTTGGAATCTGATCTAGCTGCAGGGATCACCTGCATCACAACATTTCTGCATAACTGATTGGGTGTGAACCACTTTGAGCCATCTTAATGTGATGTATCTCAATGGGCTTGCCTAGGTCTAGTGTGAAAGAGAGAGGTACACGTCACTTTAGAATAATTTGCAGTCAGCCTGTTCAGAGATGCTCCAGAGCAGGTAGGACTTGAATATGTGTCTCCCGGCTCGTCAGCTATTGCATCAATTCTCAAGATTACTATTTATAATCAACTTGTTCAGGCACATTGTGACTTGTCTGGGGCAAGTGGGGCATGAACCTGGAGCCTGTGGCCCAGGGGCAGGGACACTACCACTGCACCACAAGAGCTCTTCACACATTGTTTAAGCAACTATAATGTGGGGGATCTTGTGAACAGGATGTCATCGTGTCATCACACTGTGAACGGGATCTTAGCGGGAGAAAAAACTGAAAGATCAGCTGAGATTCAAGTGGATTAAGTTGAGGCTAACATGCCTGGTAAGGTACTGACAGGATGGGGTTGCTCTCATTCTACTACCTGCCCAGTTTTATGCTCCACCACATTCAACAAGAGTTAACACCTTCCTGAGGACTGGGTTAGATTAAAATTACCCCAAAATGTGTTCAATTTTATGAGTGATTTTTCTTTCTGTGACAATGTGCTAATATTTTCCCTTTTCTTGGTAGGTCTCCTCTGACAATTCTGGACAATTTAATAGAGGAGTGGGACCGGTTTGCAAAGAGAAGACAGTCAATCTAAAACCTACAAATGTTTTAAAAAGAAATGCACATTTCAATTTGTTAAAATGTTTCTCAATACTGAAGTTAATTGGTTTCTGTAAATCTCACATACTTGAGTTAACACCCTTCTTTGTGACCATTTATACTTCCTGAGACCAAGTATGGGAGTCAGTGATAGCTGCTGACACCAGACTCTTCACATACACTGCTCCACATCTCCTTCGGAAACTCTTGAGATTAATGGTTCATTACCAAGTAGTAAAAACAGGTAAAATTTCTTGGAAAAGTTGTTACAGTGAGCGATATTGAACATTCCTAGCTCAGGCCATGACAACTTTAATGGAATGAAAGCAGAAATTGCTGGAGACCCTCAGCAGGTCTGGTGGTAATTATGGGGTGAAAGCAGAATTAATGTCTTCAGAACAGACAAAGGCCACTGGACCTGAAATATCAACTCTGCTTCCTCACCACAGTCACTGCCAGACCTGCTGACGTTCTCCAGCAGTTTCTGTTTTAATTTGAGATTTCCAGCTTCTGTAGTTCTTTGTTTACCACTTTAATGAAATTTGATTTAAAAGCTCAAAGACGGCCGCTTTTTCAATTTGAGAAGTATTTGCTGATGGCACAAACAGACTTCAGTTCCCACACTGGTCGAGAGGCATCGGTCACACAGTGAAAGAATGACTCAACCTGAACTGGCAGTCCCTTTTCTGTGTATATTCCATTGCCGAGAGCTTTGTTTAATTTTGATTTAAATAAATGGTTTGGTTACTTGAAGTTGTCTAGCCTTTGCAAAGCTTCAATTAAATGGATAAAATACGCACAGCTTGGAGTCTGTATAATTGCCTGTGCATGTGAACTGGCTCATGTTATGAGAATGGAACTCACTGGCTTTGCTATTTACCAATAAGCCTTTTTATTTTTCCACCTTGATTCTGTTTTATAACGATATACAAAGTACAGTTCTTGCTCAGCAGATTGTCCTTCATTTTTAAGCAGAATCTCCATACCTTAAAGGAAAGTGTGGACGTAGTCCAAAGCTGTTTCTGCCTGGGACTGGCTCATAACTAGAGCAACTGCCTGCCATTCGTGATCCCACCGTGCTCTTGTATCTGCCTTTTTTCATTACCTGCTGTCCAAGTCAGTTTGCCTGGCTTTATACATGAACTTAAATACCTCTCTGTCCAGATCAGTTCTGCATTGTGTGTGTGGACTTCAGTTATTTTGTAGCAGTGCTTTTAACTTCAGTTTTATTGAGCAGTATCTCTGTTCATATGTGGATCTTTCTGAACCTATTAGTTGCACCCTCACTGCTTTTCCAGTTCATTGGGTCACTACTTTGACCAAATTCTGAATTTGTATGAAGCTGGACAGATAGCAAACCCAATGATTAGAATCCCCACAGTGTGGAAGCAGGCCATCCAACCCATCAAGTCTGCACTGACCCTCCAAAGAGCATCTCATCCAAACCCACACCCCCACCAACCTACCCCTTTAACCCTGCATTTCTCATGGCTAATCCACCTAGCCTACACATCCTGGAACACAAAGGCAATTTAGCATAGCCAATCCATCTAACCTGCACATCCTTGGACTGTGGGAGGAAACCCACGCAGACACAGGGAAAATGTGCAAACTCCACACAGAGTTGTCTGAGGCTGGAATTGAACCCAGGTCCCTGGCGCTGTGAGGCAGCAGTGCTAACCACTGAGCCACCGTGCTGACACTGACTCCTAGAATTGGCGAAGTGGTTCGTGTTACGAGAACTCATTGACCTTGCTATTTACCAGTAAACCTTTTCAATTTTCCTCTTTTAATAACAAAGTACAGTTCTTGCTCAGCAGATTTTATTCCCCTGAAATCATTGTAGGAAGCCAAAGGTGACTACCGCTCCTGAATTCTGATAGGAATGTCTTTACTGCGCCTGCTGCTTTGACAAACCTGCCTAGCAAATGCAACCCTTCCCTCTTCAGAGTTTCACTGTTAAATGTGACTGGTGATGCATTTATTAAGCAAACAGGATTGTTGGTGCCAGGAAAATGGTTAATGCTTTGGTAAATTCCTCTCAATAACGAGCAGCTCCCTGAGCATTTGGCTTTTGCCGTCCTGTCAAAGAGACAATTTACTATAAAATGCATCTGACTACAGCTGCACTTGTTCTGCGTGCTTCAGACTCCCACTTATTTTCATATGATGACTGAACTGATAACTGTGCTGCAAGGGAAACCAGGCATTTGGTACCTGAGTGCACAGGACAAGCAATGGCAACCATCGAATTTTCAGACTGAAAGATTCAGAAAGAGGGACGATGGGAAAGGAGGTGTAGGTTGGCCCGAGTGAAGTTAACGTTATATCGCTACAGAAAGAGATGGGAATAAAGATTGGAAAGATAGAGCAAAAAAGTACATCTTTATTAATAATTTTAAGTTATTTTTATGTTTTTATAAACTCCAACAAAATGTGAAGAGATGGGCCTCCAGATATCAGTTTATTTTCAGTGCCAGGAAGGCTGACCAGCATTCATTAACACCATCACCCTGATCTTCTGGTCTGCAGATATTTGGAGAATGCATGTGCTTCAGGACCCAGTTGGCACTCCCTCTGTACTGACTATAAAAGAATTGCTCGGGAAGTTTCAATGTCCAAAAGCCAATTATCCTGTAGTTGGAACCTTCTGAGAATGCCTTCAGGTCTGAGCTCGAGATGCAAACTTCAGAGGACATCAACTTACCTGCAGTGTTACCCAGGAAATGCGAGAAGGATTCAAACCAGTTCTAACTCCTGCGTAACTGTACTCCTGATATTGCAGACTTCACCCAGCGTCATCCTATTGGCCACCCACTTACCTTCTCTCTGGTGTTTTCCGTGAGACTCTGGACATCGGCTGTTTGAGGATTTTGACCCGAACAGCTCTGTGGATTTATATGCATGACATAACTTGCAACCTTTCAAGAAGATACCACCTTGTCAAGGATAAGTAAGGATGGGCAACAAATATTGAACTAGCCAGCAACACATACGTCCAGTGAACAAATAAACAGCTCTTAGCTGCCTATCTGCCTGCTCTGTGTTCTGAAATCATTCGTGAAGTATTTTCAATTTAAGAAAAAATATTCGAGGCAAATCAGAGCAGGAAGGCACACTGAACAGTAGAGGTCTGAATAATTAAAAGACATGATCTTAAGTGAGGCTTTGTAATGATTCTTTCTGTGATTGAACGATCTTGTTGGTACGTTGCAAACAACCAGCTTCTAGAGGCTAGGGAATCAACCGTGTCATCAGGAGGAAAGAAGAGAGAAACGAAAGGTTTGGGAACTGAAGTGGTTTAGAGATGGAAAAGATATTAAATTCTTCCCAAGTCTTTCATCAATTACAGAAATAAATGGCATTAAATTGGAGCCAGTGTAAGAGAGTTAAATAAATCAGTTATAAACAAAACCTTTCTTTTTGCCAGACCTGTAATATCCTTTCTGAAAGATATTTAGACAGGTCGTATCCTAGTTAAGCTGGGAACCTTGGTAATTACAAGTTACTCTAAAGAGTGACACAGACACACTTCTACCGGTATGGAGAGACTACAAATCAAGCTGTGACATTTCTACTCATTTAGGTCACAAGTTGTACTGGTTGCTTCATTACCAGCCCTTTGGATTGATTTTGTCATAACTTCTGTAAATCCATGGTTCCAGATTTTGCATCTCTCCCTTGGATCTGGGAAAGCTCCTCTCACTGTGTGCAAACTGTGCGCCTCCGTCCTGACCCCAAATGACAACTTGTGCTGCAGTTACCTATTCAACCTCCCAACTTCACTGAGTATGATTATCAATGAGTACGATTGGCCATAGACCATGAGCATTGTATGAGGGCTGCCCAGTTTGAGCTTTGGGCATTGATGCAACAAAGGAAGCTTCTGTCAGCTTGCCTTTATACTTGTTTATCTTTCTCATCCATCTCTAGTTGGATGCTAGTGGTGCAATAGGTTTGTGGTTGGTTTGGCTGCTGTTTGTTACTTTCTGAAGCTTCCCCCCGCCACCCATCATTCACATCTAAACTTTGGTTTGTTTCTGATTTAACTGCGTCAACCTTGTAAACATTGCAACAAAGTTGTTAATTTGCTGTCTGTGCTTGCTAGCTCTCTGGATTTAAGTCCCTTTGCAGATTTACCATTCCCAAACTCTCACCTCCTGCAGCCCTACATATCTCCAAGAGCTCTTGATTGCTCCAACTTTGGCCTCTTATTCATTCCCCACACCTGTACTCCACCATTGACTTCAGCTGTCTAAACCCTAAATTCTGAAATACCTTCCCTCAGCCCCTCTTCCCTCTTCCTTTCTCCTTCAGAGACTTAACCTCAGCACACTTAAATGCTTTTAGTGATTCATCCTGGTATCTGCTTTGGATATCTATCAACTTGGCCTGAGAACATTGCTCTGAAATATTTTTGGATGTTTTTGTATATTAAAGGCACTATATAAATGCAAGTTCTTGTTCTTGGTATGAAAGGGTTAGTGAAGACAAATCAATCGGAATTAAAGGAAGTTATAAGGGGGAGCAAAGAGATGGTAGACCAATTAATACATGTGTTGGGTCAGTTTTCATGAAGGAGGACACAAATAACATCCCACAAATGTTGGAGAGCACAAGATCTAGTGTGAGGCAGGAGCTAAAGGAAATCAGTATTAGTAAGGAAATGGTGTTGGGGAAATCTGCACAATGCACTGTGAAAATTCACCAAAACTCTGAGAAAAGCATCATCCAATCTACGGCCGATTCCATCAAGAAGGACGAGCATAACAGATACATTGTACCACCACCAGCTGTAATTTCCACTCTGAGCCACTCACCATCCTGACTTTGAAATATATCACTGTTCCTTCACTGTTGCTGGATCAAAATCCTGGCATTCCCTCCCTCATGGCATTGTGGGTCCAACTCACAGCACATCAACTGCAATGGTTCAAGAAGGTAGCTCAGGACCACCTTCTCAAACAACCAGGGATGGCCAATAAATCTTGGTCCAGCCAGCAATGCCCAAATGCCAGGAGTGAATTTTTCATTACACAATAACCAGTCTAGGATGGCCTGTTCTGCAGTTGATTGATCAAGGTATTGCTCCAAAAAACCATCTCATACACATTCTAACGATTCCTGCTCTATGGCATGGTTGCTGATTTGATTTGACAAATCTCTGTGCAAATTTAAGTTGCCCATTATTACACCTGTGCCTTTATTTCTGCACCCCTAATTTGCTGTTTAATGCCTTTCCCAAAATTGCTACAGTTTGGGGTCAATACACAACACCCACTATTGTTTTCTGCCCTTTCGTATTTTGAAGCCCTACCCACACAGATTCCACTTCACTGAAGCTAATATCCTTCCGCAATATTGAGTTAATGTCCTCTTTAACCAGCAATGCTACCCCACCTCCTTTACCTTTTCAACTGTCCTTCCAAACCTCTGAAAACCCTGGAGATTCAGTTCCCATCCCTGATCACCTTGCAACCATGTCTCTGTAATCCCAACGATATCATAAACATTTATATCTTCTTCTGTGACTAATTCATTCATTTTATTGTGAATACTCCATGCACTAAGACAAGTCCTAAGGCTTGAGTTTTTCAATATTCTTAGTCCTGTTTGCATTATTTTCTACTGTGGCCTTTTGATTCTTGACCTTAAATTCACTTTTCTTAATTTCCGTTCTGTTTTTGTCCTGGTTTCCTTCTCTTCTGCCTCCTTATACAGGTTCACATTGTGAATATAATGAGCCAGCGTGTGCAATGGAGCCAGTGAGGCAAAAGAATCTAGGATGGCAAAGGTTTTATGCTGTTCATTTTATAAAAGTTAAAAGGAGTAAGATAGGTAAACAATACAAGTTTGGTTAAACTTCCATTTGATTCTGTAACTGAGGTTAGAATCAGAAAGAATGTACAGTTTAAATTGCTTCCAATTTTTTTTGTGTGTAGCACTGCTTTGTGGCTATATTTTATTAAAAATCTCAATAATGTATTCATAACCAAGTGGATTTATTGCTGTAATACTAATGTTTATTTCATTGTTACAGTATTTTTATTACTGTACCATCAGTGTTTATTTCCATGTCAATATATTCTAATTTTAGGTATTATTTCCATTATTTGCAGTTCAGACAGAGGCAGGGATTTCCATCAAGCTGTCAACAATCTAA